CTTTAATTTCAATTTTGATTTTCTTTCAACGCAAAGTTATTTGCAAGAGTTCTTTTTACCTCACAAGCAAATCGTTATTTTTTTAGTTACTTGTTGGCAGTATATATTCTTTTCCTCTCACCCCTCCCCTCACACTCATTTCTACCCAGAGAACCAGTCCCCTACTTCAAGGCAGACTACCCCCAAGATGGGTCCCATCCATTGGGCTAAAGATCAGCATGCCCTCTCTAGCCTGTGGTCCCCAACACTCATTTCACCCTGCTCTGCCTTGTAAGGGTCATTTTATACATTTGTCTTTCTCACCAGCTGAGGCCTTTTGGCAAGGAATTCAGAGATCTGTTAATACTACATTTTGAAACAGTACTTCTCAAAGGGAGGTCCAGAGACCTTTTGCATCAGAATTACCATGTTGTACAAATTAAAGTATAGCTTCCAGAGCCCCTTTAAGATCTATTAAGTCAGAATCTCCGGGGGTGGGGGTTCAGGAATCTCCATTTTTAACAAGCACCCCAGGTAAGTCTATTCCAGCACATAGAACTTTTTGTTAAACTATTGTTCTACATGATACTCTGATAAGCTTCAGTCAGTTCAGAGCAAGTCTACTAGGTAAGAAGGTCTTAGGAACCATGTCATATAAAGAACATTGAAGACAGGATATTTAAAGCTAGAAAAAAGAGTTGGTGGGGAGAACACAAGAGATGCCACTCATATGAAAGATACTTCAGATTTATTCCATGTAGTTTTTAAAGGGTAAGTCCAAAGGGTAAAAATTAAAAGGAGATAGATTTGGCTCTAATATAAGGAATAGATTTCTAACAATTTGAACTCTTCAAAAATGGAATAGCCTTCTCGTGAATTAGTGAGTTGACTCCTATTTGGACACATCCAAGCAGATAATGGATGACTTTGTGCCAGAGATGTTGAACAGAGACTTTTACGTCAGGTCAGATGATTTCTACATTCTCTTCCAACTCTTAGGATTCTTAAGATTCTCTAATTTTAGGTTCATGAGCTCAGTACGAGTTATAATCATTATAACATTTCCAGATGATATTGGACACCTATTTCTTCATAATCAATGATTCAAATATATTTGGTGATCTAACACAACGTATGTAAAAATTGGTCCGAGTAAATAAAATCTCACACCATTATATTTTTTCAAATTTAAGAGTTGTTAAAGGTTTAGTTTATTTCTGCACATATATGTGATGGCTAACCCCATTCTAAGAGCTAAAAACACAAAACTATTATCTAAATCAGATGTGCAATGACCAAATAAACTCATTCATTGCTTACCTAAAGGTAAAGGATACATGGCAAAGAAAACTATTTAGAACAACCCAGGGCCGGCCCGGTGGCTTAGCGGTAAAGTGTGCGCGCTCCGCTGCTGGCGGCCAGGGTTCAGATCCCGGGCGCGCACCGACGAACCACTTCTCCAGCCATGCTGAGGCCGCGTCCCACATACAGCAACTAGAAGGATGTGCAGCTATGACATACAACTATCTACTGGGGCTTTGGGGGAAAAAATAAATAAATAAAATTATAGAACAACTCAATATTACAATCTGTCTATAAAATAACTCATCTACTCCTTCCATCTTCACAAAGGTAAAAAATTGAATTTAAAATATGAAGCAGAGACAAGATGTATTAACTTGTGAAAATGGTTCTTTAATTGTGTGCCTTTAAACTGATAGAAAAAAAGAAACTCCGTATTACAATAGATAAATTATATACCACTATGTTTATGTAGTAGTTGTAGCCAAGGTCCCTAAACAGAAAATTATCCAGTGGTGCCACGGAGACCAATAAGAGTATCAAGAATTATTAGACTCAGATTTCATATTTTAGTTGGAAAAAGATAACATATTTGTTTTCAAACTCTTAAAATCAGAAATATTATTCAACAAACACACACCAGAGTTGAGGGAAATTTTTGGAAAAGCAGACAAAAAAGTATTGAGAAAGTTAACTTATTTTCCAGAGAACTTGACTACTATCAGGATTAAATGTTTTTATTACATAGTAACTTACTTGCTTTTTTGTACCTTATGTCATCTTCTCCGGTTTGTGATGTTACAGTCCTGCATATGTTAAATAATAAAAACAAACCAATTATATATTTTGCATGATCAGTATGTTATAACATTAAGATCAGACTAATAATACAAATCCACTCCAGTGCCAATTTGTAAACTCCCTGCAATCTTACAGCAAGTCCTCAGGAATATAAAAACGTGAACAAAAAGGCTTTATATTTATCTTATAGAAGGTATAAACATCAATTATAAAGAAGAGATACAAGCCTTATTCAGTTAAATAAAGTTAACGTGATTACAAAAGCATCTCTAATAAAGCAGACGAAATAATCATATTGTTTGTAGTTCTATTCAGAGTTCATTGAACCATTCAAAACAACTTCAAAAACAATCAAATGCAAAGGCAAACCCCTATTTTAGAAATAAAATAAATGCCAAGTATGGTTAACCTTTGGATATCGATCTAGCATTCACTTTTCCCCGGTCTAAACAATCTAGTCTTAGTTCCTATGGCATACAGCATGGATTGGAAAAGGAAGCAGCTAAAAATTGGCTATCGCAGAGTTCCAGGAGTGTGGCACATGGGTGATGCAGTAACAGTGAAATCGAAGGGGGAAAGGCAGTCTTCCCCCACAAAACCTGCTTTTCCTGCAGTCTTCTCCATCTCATTAATGGCGGCTTCATCCTGCTAGTTGTTCAGGCTAATAACTTGGTGTCTTGCTGGGACTCCTCTCTGTCTCACATATCCTTCATCCAAACCATCAGCTAATACTGTCACAATCTCCAGAATCCAACCACACTCTCACCGTCTCCACCTCCCTGGTCTAAGACCTCCCATCTCTCACCTGAATTACTGTAAATGCTCCTAGCCAGTCTCCCTTTTTGCCTTTGCCCTCTGCAGTTTATTCTCAACCCGGCAGCCAAACTGACCCTCTCCTCAAAGCTCTCTAGTGACTTCCCATCTCACTCAAAAGTCAACGCTCTCACAATAGGGTCCTACACAAACTGCTCCCCATTATCTTTCTTTCCCCTCACTGCCTCAGCTCCAGCTGCGCTGGCCACTTTGCTCTTTTATGAACAGGCCACTCCCACCTCCAGGGTTTTGCAATTGCTCTTCCTTTTACCTGGAAGTTTCTTTATTTAGACACCACATGGCTTATTCCTTTCACTTCCTTCAGGTTTTTGCTCAATGTCCACTTCTCAGTGAATAATTTCCTGATCACTCTATTTATTACTGCAAACCTTACACATCCCAATACTCCATCTCCCTTCTTTAAACCTTTTGTTTTTCTCTATAGAATTTATCACTACCTAATTACCATTTTACTTATTTTGTTTGTCTGATTGTCCTCACTAGATTGTAAACTCCACGAGATTAGGGATTTTGTCTGTTTTGTTCAATAATATATTTCCATAGCTAGCACATAGTAGGTGTTCAATAAATGCTTGTTGCAAGAATGAATACCCTCCACCAATGCTCTAGTAACCAATGTTGAGAACTAGATGCCCTACACCATTTTGGGGTCTCCATAACAGTGCTAAAGCAGATGCCTGACACTGTTAGATTTATACTGCTCCTGGAAATTGAACAAGACATGTACAGTATGCAGATATAAAACAAGGAGAAAATTTTCCTTATGCAAAATATAAAACTCATAGATTCATCAACTGAGGTTTTCAAGTCCATTTCTTTCATTTGAAAGACAGAGGTCTGGTGAGCTTAAATCATTTCTGAAGGTCATCCAGATACTAGCAGTAAAATATACTATAAATCAGATTACTTGGCTCTCAATTCAGTGTTCGTTTCATTCCATCATGGTACTCTTTCATTGAGTGTTCCTCTGACCAGGAATTGAATCATTCCATAGCATCTGAGTTTAAATTACTACATCACTAGGAAATAAAAAGTCTAATTCCCAATATTATTCCTAAATTAGGCTGTGGTGAGTCTAGATGTTGCTAAAGTGGAAAAAACCAGCTTCACTATTTTTTTTTTTTAAAGATTTTATTTATTTATTTTCCCCCCAAAGCCCCAGTAGATAGTTGTATGTCATAGCTGCACACCCTTCCAGTTGCTGCATGTGGGATGCGGCCTCAGCATGGCTGGAGAAGCAGTGCCTCAGCGCGCGCCCAGGATCCGAACCCGGGCCGCCAGCAGCGGAGCGCGCGCACTTAACCGCTAAGCCACGGGGCCGGCCCAGCTTCACTATTAATTGAATATTTTGTACCATGAACAGAGGAAACTGTCATTTGCAGTATAGTCTCCTGGGTATAAGCATGGATTCTGGTGTTCACACCTCCAGGTTCAAATCCCAGTTTTGTCACTGATTAGTGTCACTTATTAGTAATCTCTCTAAGATTTTATTTTCTCATTTTTAAAAAGAGGGTAAGTGCACTACTTATGTCATTGAGTTGTTGTGAGAATAATGCACAGAAAGCACTCAGTACATGGCCCAATACATATTCATATTGACAGATTGACTGTCAATTGCAATCAGACATGAATAGACGTTATAATCAGATACACACCCTTCCAATTTTAGATGTGACTCGATATTTATTAAACTAATCTCCCAAATTAGAACACTTGTTGATTTGAACTTTATAGCAATTACTTTTATCCAGTTCCTTAAGAAGTGAAAAAATTATAAAGCATTTTACAATTCATGCAACAATTCATATTCATTTAACAATTCATATTCATGCAACAATTCAATAAGATTTAAAGCCAAAAACAGATTAAACTCAACATTAAAGCATTTTGTAGTCTATTTTGGCCAAAACAATGCATTTTCCCTCATTCATGTAACCATTACTCAGCAGACCAGCACCCTATGTTACAAAGAGCCTATTAATTATTGACACCTTCTTGGTGGTCCAAGGGCGCCCTCTGCCTAAAAAGTGAAAAATTCAAAGCTAAATTAAATACTCTTTAAAAGCTGATGCTTTCTCAAGTAAATTCTTAACCAATAATTCTACGAAATCAATCCTCTCTTTAATCACTGCTAGCAGATAGTCAGAAAAAACAAATGTCATGTCATTTGTTACAAGAGCACCAAAACGGTCAAGTTTACATCCCTGTAATTTACCTGGAAATTTGGAAGGAAAATCCATGATATTTTCCCCAGAATTTATTCCATATCATTCAATAAAATTATTGGTGTGAATCACCTAATTAAGTATATTGATCTCTTTGTTCTGTCCATGTAAGACTCTACAGTTTATTTAACATGCCATTGTAGCAGTTTGCCCAGCAATGAGTATCACCAACATCAAATATTTATTGGGTATCTTCTATGTACAGGACACTGCACTAGGTGAAAAGGATGTAAAAAAAACATTCTGTATCCTCAAAGAAATGACCGTCTACTTTCTCAAAAAGGATGTGTTTAAAGAAACATACGGTAAAATGCCCACTGAAAAAGATATGCTTCTCTCAATTCGCTGCTTTCTGTGTCAGCTTAGGAAAGTTATTCAACTTTTCTGAACCTCAGTTTATCTGTAATATGGAGATGACATGCACCTCAAAGGAAAGTTGCGAAAGTTAATTGAGATATTTGTAAAGGGCTCACCACACAGTAAAAGCTCAATAAATTTTGGTTGTTTATTAATACTATTAAGAGAAATCTTGAATAACAACATCCTACACTAAATTTCATTTGCTTCAAATGGAAAGATGTGTAAACAAAATATTTTGTATCTTATTTTTTCAACATTAAATATTCTTTCTAGTGAAGAAAAACAAGTGATCCTGATCAAATGCTTGATCAAGTCAATATTGAGCCATTTCTAAAGGAATTATTTCAATATAAAAAATATTATAATTAAGACTCCTTTACCACTAATGGAATTTAAGGATTTATCTGAACATGCATTTTCTGCTACTTACTTCATACAGCTTGCTTATTCTCTTGAAACATCTAAAATGTTAAAAATAATTCCATCACATTTTATAATTATCTACATTTCTAACCCCAACAACAGCCCAAGAACAAAATCATGGTCATAAAAGGGATCTCAGCTATATATATATATATGATTTTAGAAACAAGAACTTACGTATCTCCTTAACGTTAGAAAGCACTTTTTTTGTGTGTGTGTGAGGAAGATCAGCCCTGAGCTAACATCCATGCTAATCCTCCTCTTTTTGCTGAGGAAGACCGGCCCTGAGCTAACATCTATTGCCAAACCCCCTCCTTTTTTTTTCCCCCAAAGCCCCAGTAGATAGTTGTATGTCATAGCTGCACATCCTTCTAGTTGCTGTATGTGGGACGCGGCCTCAGCATGACCGGACAAGCGGTGCGTCGAAAAGCACCAAGGATCCGAACCCGGGCCGCCAGTAGCGGAGCGCAGGCACTTAACGGCTAAGCCACAGGGCCGGCCCCTACAAAGCACTTTTAAATTCATTTTGTGAATTATAATAATTTCTCAGGGAGGCAAGCACATGACAAATATTTTTATATTCAGTTTGTGGGTGGGGAAACTTATAAATAGTAAAACTAAGCACAGTACAAAATATCTGCTAAGAAAAGTAATTACAGCTAGGCTAAAGACTACATGTATTATCTCACCTAATTCTCGCACCAAACTACGATAGGGGCCATTTTCTCCATTTACAAATGAGGAAACTAAGGTGCAGAGCAGTTACATAGCTTGACAAAGGCCTGTAATTAGCACCCAGAATAATCAAATCCAGGTCACCTGATTCCAGAGCCTGTGCTCTCAACCTCTATATATCCTTCCTATTAAAAGTAATAATTTTCTTAAATATCCATGAGTCTATACTGACATAAATAAACGATTGACTAAATAAATAAATGGGGGAAAAGGATAGCTCTTTTTTATGGAAGAATTCCAAATAATAACTATAGAAGGAATGAGGAAAATAATTACCACTAGGTAAACACCAATTGTTGCAGGCAAGAACCATCAATGGATTCCAGTTAAAATTCGCAGGTGCAAGTATGATGAGAAATATATTTTTCACACATCAAGGCATCTCTCCATATGATATTTATTAATTACAAGGAAAAAAATAGTAATTTTACAGTGAAGAAACCAACAGACACCACCTAAACCAAGTGATCAAAGTTAACATCACCACCAAAAAGGTGGAATCACTGAAATTACTGAATGTGCAGATAGAACCCTCCATGCAATTTTTTTTTTTTTTTTGCTAAGGAAGATTTGCCCTTAGCTAACATCTATTGCCAATCCTCCTCTTTTTTTGCTTGAGGAAGATTAGCCCTGAGCTAACATCTGTGCCAATCTTCCTCCACTTTATATGTGGGTCGCTGCCACAGCATGGCTGACGAGTGGTGTAGGTCTGCACCCAGGATCCAAACCTGAACCCATGAACCTGGGCCACCAGAGCAGAGCGTGCTGAACTTAACCACTATGCCACAGGGTGACCCTGCAAATAATTTTCACTTAGTGATGTAAAGCTTGTCAGTGCTTTTGCTACCACAAAATTCAGTACTAAACCACCAACTATGACAAAAATCTAACAAATTCTGTTTGAGGCTGGTAGACACTAAGCCTCTGAAATCACTTGAAGCATAATTTTCCTAAGTTTTGTCTTTGTGAAAATTGTATGCTTTACAAATTATGATGGAGCAGGCCAAATCTTCCCATTAATATTTCTATTATTGTATAGTAATGCAAGATAAAGTTATTATGGAAACTATATTGGAAGCTATAGTTTACAAATACTGAAATTGATTCTATTTTTAAATTTTCTTATCAAAGGGGATTAAATACATCATAAGCAAAAAATATGCTAAAAGGCCTGTCTACTTTTTGATTTCAAATAATTAAAGCTGATATTTATTGAACATTTAATATGTGCCAGGCACATTTTTTTCTGCATTATTTCATTTAATTCTCACAAGTTCATAAGGCAGATTATATTATCACCATTTATCAGATGAGGAAATGGTTAGAGAGGTTAAGAACATGGCACAAGGACTGGTTGTCTGACACTAGCAATACTGCATTCTTTCTCCAAATATTTTTTCAATTGCTAACAAGTAGGAAATCTAATTAATTTGAGTTTCATTGAATTCCATCTTTACTTTCATTCTGTCCAGGGTTTGTTGGGCAAATTTTAACACATAGCATCAAGGAGAACAGTAGACAATTAAAAATCTAAGATAACTAAGAGTTGGCCATATTGTTATTATAATTATATGGAAGCTTATTTACACAGTCTTTGTTTTATATCAAGCTTTGTGTTCTTATGGAGGAAAAACAGGATTTTGATTAAATATAAAATGGGTAGTTAAACCTCTAAATAGGACATACTTTGTAGGAAGCTAAAGCATATGTATTTATTCAGGTAATCATTGCTGATTATTTCATTTATATACATATTTACAAGTCTTAACAAAATGGACAAATGTAAATACTATATTATTTTAACTTCCTGTTTTTTATCCTAAAAGCAGATTTCTTAGACCTAGTGAAAATAAATTTTTCAAGTAACTTAATCAGAAAATTTTATAATTGATGTAATCATTCATATTTGAAGAATGTCATGATCTACTTTTTAAATTTGAAGTCTTTATTATTGAAAATATTCTTGTTATTACAGTTTATTTACACCCTAAATAAAAAAAAAAATAGGTAAGGTACTTCATTTGGCTTCTGAATTCGCTGTATCTTGCCTACAACAAAACAAGTCACTCTGGGTTTATCCTGGATGAGTCACAAAGCAAGAGTTTGGACTTTGTCATTAGTTTCAGTCCTATTTTTAGAGGTATGGGGATAGAAAGAAGTTCTTAATCTGGAGACATTTTAAATGGCTTTTGTAGTTTTCTTCAGAAAGGAAATAGGCTGTCAAATTTCCAGACCATCACAGCATACTTTAAATATATAATAACTATTTTGTACAAAATGTTTACATACCACATCTTATCAATGTATATGCCACTGACATCAATGGAATTTCACAGGC